TATTCACACACTGCTCCCAATCAGACACCATCTCCTGCAGAAAAAAATCTCCACCATAGCGCAGTGACAGGCTGTCAGGCAGAGGGCACCAACCTCCACAGGGCCTCGGCTGAGAGTCTGCCCATCTGGGGGAGGGGGGCAAAGGCCAGGGGTTACGACTGGAGACACAACACAGGCCTACACTCATCCACAGACTTCATGCACACTTGTGCTATTGACACTTGTCCAGGAACTCAACTTGCAACATGCCGGAGCTAAAATTTCATGGCATCAAAGCCTCAAGCCTCAGCTTTGATTTAAAGAACTAAAAGTTTCTTAAACCAAAAAGATCTTCTGTTCTATGGCTAATCTTCAAGTAAGGTTGTTTTGCTCTTCAACTTGAATGCTCTGTGAAACACATTTGACTTGACCTTTCAGTGGATGATGTAGATCACAGCGACAGTGGAACAGGTTATTTGCCTGGCAGGAAACTAAAGTGGTATGCAAGCTCCATCAGGGATTTTTAACTACATCCTGGTCGCAAGCCTATTTTCCTAACCACCAGACCATATGAGGTCCTCATGTGTAGAGCCAATCTGAATCAGGACAAGCAGAGGTCAGTGAAATCTATATGTAGGACATGCAATCTCCGAGCTTTGAGTAGGAAGATTTGCTTCTCTTGGTGCACTTCTGGAGTCTGCAAATGTTTACTTTGATGCCAGAGAATCTCAGCGGTACTTAGCCACTTGGCTCCAAACACAATAACACTGCAGATGCTGAATATATTCACTAAGTGAGCAATCAGTTGCAAAGTGGGCTGAAAATTACACTTATCCCCCCTGTGATGATATGCATGAAGAAATAAGTCAGAGAGCAAGAGCCGGAGCAGAGGGGCATGAGGGGAGAAGTGTTATCACCTGATCTGTCCTATCTTAAAAAAGCAGAGGTTTGTGTCACCTCAACTCTTCAGAAAAAGAGATAGAAATCCTCCAAGCATACTTTTATGTGAGAGATTTCTGTGAAATGATTGCTAATCTATGCAAAAAAGCAATCAGCAACTCATTCATAATGCATGAGCATCGAGATACCAATTTTGCAACGCTTTCGGATTATTAGATGTTATCATGAATGCAGCAGATGAAATATGAACACTCCTACCTGTCCTGTTGTAATTACATGACTGCAGCGGCCGAGAGAGATACACTGGAAGAGAATTTAAAGAAAGTCACATCCAGAGAGACAAACAAGCACATGTAACATCCATTACTATCTAGCAGCACATCATTCTAGATGGGAATATTTGTTTCTAACAGCTTTAGGTTCCCATTTGTGCCATGATTTATCAACCTAAAAGCGGTGGTTTTAAGTACATCTGGCTGACATTTTAATGGTCCATCAATCACAGTGTGTCACGTGATGACAGTAAGAGATCATCCTCCTCCCGTGCCTCTGAGGGGGAAAAAAACGGAATCCAATAAATTGGCTGCAATCCCGGGAAAATGATGAGAACCTATTTCTAATTCAAAGCAAGTTTAATGTATGAGTGTTAGATAAGCTGCTAGTCGAATTAATGCAAAACAAAATTCATTTAGGATATTTTTGTTCCATAAAGAGCTCATAATTCACTGCATATATTTACATGCCAGTTTCTGCACTGCAGTTTAAAGCCTGACAAAAACAATTACAATATCTGTGCGTATATTGGCTTCAGATTTATAAGTGTAATTCATTATCACATTATAGTGTTTTTCATGGTTATAATGTCAACATAAGTCCTTTTTGAAAGCGAATTTAAAAATGCTCCTCTTAAAAACAAAAACATCAAAACACATAAACACAACCAAAAATTTAATTATGAACCATTTCACCCTGATAAGGCTGTTTTCAAGCACAGCCTCAAATTTAGAGAACAGATTTGCCAATTTCTTTCAGTTTGCACAACAACAACAACAACAAAAAACCCACACACACAAAAGCCTGACTTTTTTACTTCAGCGGTAACGTGTCTGGATTGCACCTGGAAGCCTTGTAAAAAAAGCTGACAGATTTCATACTTTTACATTCTGGGCAACTTCGGCACAAGGGATTTGCTCTTAAAACGGAGCACAGCCAGGATGAAGGGTGGTATAAAAATCAATGGGGCTTTTCAAAGGCAACAAGAAAAAGCAGCGCCTTAGCCTGCAATTAAACAAGAGCGCTTCTGGCACTGAGGAATGACAGAGTGTGTTGCAGGTGCCCTCAACTTCACACAATCAATTACAGGATCAATACAATGACATGATACAATTCTATGATGGAAAATGGGACGTAGAGCAAGAGCTACTCACAGTGTTTCACATGTTTACAGTGATACAGCTCAGGCAGGTCGAAGCACAGTCGGCCCATTGTAAAAACGTGAAGAGGACCAGTTGTAGACCAAACTGATCATTCAGGTAGAAACCTCAGCTGAAACGTTTTGTCCAAAGGAGAAAGCAAAGGGAAGGTTTTAGATCTAGGGCTCAGAGGCTCAAGGTGGGGTCACATATTAACCCTGAGGGCTTACAAGACAACTCATGAAGAAAGAAAACAGAAAAATGCCCGCTATGATGGCATTTGGTCGATTTTTCACCCCAATCTGGATTTATCTTAATATTCAATAACTATTTGACATGTTCCTTAAAACTACTATTTACTAGAAGTAGCCCACAGAGGGTCGACCAAACTTATCTCCTTTGTCTCTTTTTCTAGTCCCGTCTTGACATTTACTTTTTTTGTTTTGACAATATTTTTTGTTTTATGTCAGGGTTAAAACCAAATCACTTTTCTCTAAATCTCCCATGGAGCTCTCTGTGACAATTTTGGCGCCCCCTGTGGGCAAAGAAAAATCTCATACATCTTTTCAGATTTTTCTGCTGTACGTGTCAGTAATGTTGTCTGAAAGGAAAAAGTCATTATGCTGTATTTTAACAATGAAATGTATTACCCATTGTGATTATTTCAAGTAAGTGTAAAAGAAAAGACTATTTTTCAGTGTGCTGCCATCTGGTCTGATACTTCATCCATCGCAGTGATTTTTCGTCAAAGACACTGTCAGTCTTATCTAACATTGCCGTTTTAGCCTGTTTTATAAACAATCAAAAACGCTTTACAGTGGCTTTAGTGTCATCATTAAGGGACAATTTGTCAAGCAATTCAGTTTATGACCTGACCTTGGCAGTTAGACACAATTTTTACCTTTAAGATCAGCGTGTCTGCATTGTAATCTTACAGATGTTGGCACATTGTCAACTAGTTTGCCAGTGATTGTTTATTCAGTTTAGTAGTTTTATCTTTACCAGGCCATTAAATCTCCATCCTTTACAACTGAAGAAAGTATGAAACTGAGCAGTCATGAGGGGTCCCAAGTAGACACTGTTTGTGTCATCACCAGGAAATTTACTGTTAACTCCACAAACAAGGTGTTTAATCAGTCCAACAATCCCACTTTCTTCTCTAAAACTATAATCTCAAACTTGTTTGCCATCACCCGTGCTCCCCGCTGCCTTAATTGGACCCCTGCTGCTTACATCACCCAGCTCCCCCTCCGATTTACTGAAAGGGCAAACACCCCCAAGAGGATCTTAGAGCCCATGATGACTGAGAGGAGCTCATGATGTTGATGTCGGCCCTGTCAGTGTGCCCGTACCAACGCTGGGAGAGGATGCTCTCACAAATCTTCCCTGCTGAGGACAATTGCACATCCCCCTTTTGACATAGATACCATGACATATATTATACCGCACACGAGTCAATAACAAGCGACAACATCTTGTGATGCAGAGGCCTCTGTATGTAAATGCAAATGCTCTCTGTAGGAAGTCACTCAATGAATTCCTGTTAGTGAAAAACCAGAGGCCAACAGAAACGCAGTATCTCGTCATTCAGGTCTAATACTGTATTCAAACTTAATGGCTCTTGACAAGCATTTCACCAGTCCACTGAGAGACCAGAGGGAATGTGCCACAGTGAGCATGACCACTCAGCAAATTCACATTTAACATTTCATTTCTGCTGCCTGGTCTGAATGAATTATACATCCTTGAATCTCTCACATTGATCCATCTGGACAAAACTCCCTAAATGTTAAATGTTAAATGATTTGTAAGTCCTCGTCCTCGCTGCTGGGACAGCACACTGTTTCCATCGTATCTCTCTGATTCTGACATTCTCCCTCTATCCTTGACCCCTTTCTTCACTCCCTCAGTTATCTGAAATAATCTCAGGGCCTCTTTAGATTCTATTCATCAGAGCAGAAAGAAGCAGGCGCTGACATTGATAAAAAAAAAATACCATCTGTGCCTTGCAGGGGTAAAAGGAGTGAGAGAGAAGGAGACAAAAAAGAAAGAGAGGGGCTTCAAATGGAATAGGCTCTGTTGTCTCCCTCTTGTCCCCCCTCGTCAATGCCATTTCAATTGAAAAGCGCAGTGGTAATTAAATTCCAGCAGGGGTTAGGGGCAACTGTGCAGCGCACTGACGGGGGGCTGCCCTGACATAAAGATGACACAATTCAAGAGGACAGAGGGGGCCAGGCGGAAAAGGAGGGAGGGTGACAAATGTTGTTTATTCACGTACACTGCCAGATTTGTGCTCCTCAATCTTCTTGACATTTAAAAAAATAGAAAATGAAATGGATATTCAGACTCAACTGAATCCCACCATGACCTTTTCCCCAAATCAGGGATATTCTAAACAGATCCGTCTTCTGTATCTGCAGCATGTGCAGAATATTTTGTAATGCTCAGGGAGGATGAGCAATTAGGTGGAGAAGAATTTGGATAAAGCCGGTGTATGTGTGTGTGTGTTTGTCTGCGCATATGTGTCAGCACAAATGTGTGACTCACAGAAAGGCGCTGGTTGTTGTTGATTCACGTTATAGTGGCGCTAATCCAGAGGCTCCAGAGAGGCCACACACTCCTGCTGTCCCGCTCTCTCTATCCTCTGTTCGCAAAACAACACAGCCGGTTTGTCTAGAACTGCACAAACCAAAGCATGTGGCGCACATATTCATCAACCCTCAACAGATATTTATTATGATCTGACAGATTTCTCATGAATGAACAACAAAGTATTCCTCAGTTTAAGGATCATTTGCACGAGGCACCACTATGTTAAAAGCAGAGTACAATAAAAGACTCATTTATTGCTCGAATAAATCGTACACATTAGTCCTCAGGAATATATCTTTGACATATTTGCTCTCGCTCTTTCATTAGTATTCTCAGTAATACTGCTAACGGTGCAGAAGTATAAAAATACAGTCACTGCTAAAAACCTCCGTCAAGAACTGTGAAAACTAAAACATGTGAAAAGTAGTGAATGGGTTTTTGTGAAAGAACTTGCAAAAAAATAACTCATCATCATCTTTTCTCTCTTATTGGAATTTTCTGTCATTCTACAAATGACCACTCTAACTCCAGCTGATATCTAACAACACTGCATTTTTCAATTTCTGGAGAGTAATTAATGAATGACTATGATTTAATCTGTTCAGATAGGTTGGCCCTGCTGCTTTAATATTTGGATGAAACTATAAATTAAATTCTGCCTCCGCCTGGCCCCCACATTAATCAATTTATCAGAGCCTCTAACCATAAATCCTTTTTCATTGAGAACATTCGTTTAACACTGATGCCACCTAGTGGTCATTATGGTTAGCACATCAATTAGCACCTATCAAGCGCGTGTATCCACCAACATGGTGAGACACTTCTTTCAAATATCCAAATCTGCTTTAGTTTTCTTTTGTTGAAACTTATATGGGTAATTTTGTAGAGATATAGCGGCCTCTATAATAATGTGTTTGCTTTTCAGTCCAGAAAGCTGTGTCCAGTTCTCTTTGAGTGAAACTGTCTTTGGTCCAACCCAATCACATTACTTCTTTGATCAAGCGTTTAACAGGTCTTGAGGAAAAGACGATAAATCCCATGTGTCCTCTCGCTCAGCCACAGTCTCAGGTGTGAGTCAGTAACGATTTAAAACCTCCAGAATTTCCTCTTTAACAGAGACAGGGGAGTGCTGCTGGACCCCTGGCCCGCCAATACTTGTCTCCCAGCAGTCAAAGCCGAGGTCTCTCAAGTCTTGCACTGTAGTCTGGACAACAGTGGAGTCTGTCTCTACAAAATAGAAAAGTCAGATTAAAGTCATGTCACTGGTGTTTATGTTTGGGGGCGTACAGGTATGAAAAAAAATGAAAATAGCTGAAACAGATGTAAAAGATCTGATATAAAGATGGCACTTTCTGGGATAAACCTGGACTTGTAAGTCACTTGCAAGAAAGAGTCTATATTCAAGTTTGGAGAAAAAAAATCAAATCACTTGAGAATGTTATAGAAAACCAACACTATGGAAATTCAAATACAAATAAATGATTTCTAAACAAATAAAAATGAGAACATTCATAATTCTATCTAAAGCTTTTTGTTTTCACATTATTTAACTTCCTATTCTGCAAGTTTGCTTCTTTGGAAAATGATATAATTCAACCTTGGAACAAAATCTACAGTGCAGTAATTTTGTGCTTCTCAGTATTCAATTAAAATATTTTAGCCAATGCTATGCAGACAAAGGCCTCTCTCAGATGGGCACAAGAAGCAAACACAGAGAAAGAAACTCGCTATTTGTCCAACACAGGAACCAGGAATTAAACTACAAAGCAACAAAAAATGACTGTAAACAGTTTTGAAAGTCAGATCTTTCAGAACCTAAGATCAAAATCATCCCCTACTGGGAAAAATATTTCAATGTGTCAAATTTTTTCTGAGGTTGATTCTTGGAGGAAAAGACACAAAAGTTTGGCTTTACCCTCTAAACCATCTATGACACACACAGAAGGTCGACTGGCCTACATTACCTGGTCTCAGAAGGGTGATACCACAGCCTCCTCCACCCGCACCCGTTAGCTTGCTGTGAAGCCCTCTAGCCAATGTGACCTGGCACAGGGTGTCAAGAGCTGGGTGTCCCACCCCCATTACATTCAGGTGGTGCTGGTTAATGTCAATGAGCTCCTAAAGGTAACATGACACAGCTGTTATTTGTATATTCATATCTACTACAGACAAAGAAAGAGTCAACTTGAATGAGAGTTCCCAGATATACTGATAAACGCTTGACGTGAAAGAGTGTAGCGTTACAATGATGTTTCACTCCTGGGATGTCTCAATGACCAGAAGCGGGCACAGTTTTCTGAATACTGATTTCTGTTGAATCAGTTCATCTATTTACAAAGATGTCAAATTCAGCTGATAATTAATAACTAACACTTACTCCTTTTTTTTCAAGTATTTTTTGGGCAATTTTTGTCTTTTTTTTATTGATAGGATAGGGTAAAATGTGGGGAGATAGAGAAAGAGAGGGGTGAGGGCATGCAGCACATGGGCAGGGCCAGACTCGCATCCGCAACCGCTGCCTAATCCTTCTTTTTTTTACTTACAGAATTCAACATTAATATCAAAAGCACAGATTTTTTGTTTTTATTTCAGAGTGGTCAGCGCTCACTCCCGCTGCAACAGGAAAGTTCCCTGTTGTGCAAGTCCCATAAAAGATTAGATCCAAACAAATAACATCCATTAAGAGCCACATATTACTTCAATACTTATTGATACTTGATTACTTTAATTACTTCCACATATTACTTGAGCGAGTGTGAATTGCCTTCTACAGAGGTAAACGCAGTACGATTTCATTTGTTGCACCAGAACTCCTACAATGCAAGTCAGTCGGTGAAACACTCGTACCTAAAAGGTGGCAAGAAATTTGAACATCTTCCACAAATCCTCATCTTTGAAGCCATTTGTGGTTGGAAGAAGAGAGGTCAGATGATTCATAGATTTACAGTTTTAAATAAAAGTGAATTAGATAGAAGTTCAAAGTTTCAATAGTAGTTTTTCAAGTAAATATCCACCCAAAAAAATCGAGCAGATAATTTATGATTAACAAATTAACGCATTATTAATGTGTCATCGACAAGTTCTGTAAATGACACATTCATAATGCGAGAATCTGTACACAAGGCCTCAGTGGCTTAATCAAAGCCTCAGATCTGATAACAAGCTGAATGACAAGAAAACAGAGACTCTCTACATTTTCTGTGACTGACTGTAAATCCGGGAATCCAAACGTTTTCAAACCACCTCTTTTTAACCTTGGAAGATAAGTAGCTTATTGTTATCTCAAGAAAACAATGTTAAAGTCTAGTCTTTCTTAACAGTCCAAAATCAAACTTTATCTGGTTTTATTAAATCCCTAACTGATGAATGGGCTGTATGTAGCTTTCTTATAAATTCTGAAGCATCTACCTTGAGTGACGCTAGCTGTGTAAGGTCACAACATCAGTTTCAGGGTACCATCTCTTCTAGGAGGACATTTTCTTCCTCATATTGTTGATACATTCTTTCATACTTTTATGTTCAGGTTGTTAAAGGGATAGATTAATAGGCTGCCAGTGGAAGAGGTCTTCTCTTTAAAGAATTCAAAAGTCTTTTTTACCTCCAGAGTATTGTAGTGCTCTCCTGTAATTGGCTCACAGGTCATCTCTGAGAGGACTTTTTCACAAGTGCAAGAGATGGCATCAACAGAGTCGAGCACGGGGGCCATGATAGAGGGAAACTACAGGAGACAAAAACAAAGAGAAAAGATAAACCCCTCACAACCTCTGTTATCTACCTACACACACTATCTATGACTTATCTATTAAGTCAGTACTGATGACTTTCTGTGAAACGTGTCTTTACCAAATGTTTTCAATAACCTGAAACTGTTTTGAGATAGATAAGCTGTTTACAGATACACAATTGCAGGTTTCACTTTTGTTGCACTCCAGCGTGATCACAACACTGCCACAACACCATACAGACCTGTCTGTGTGCGAGGCAGACATCTGCACACCTGCTGGCGTCACCACGGCAACAGCACACAGGGGTGCTGCCTAAGAGTTTAATTTCAATATTTTATGAAGGCACTCAACGCCAGACTCTGGAGTATCTGCCATGCAAAAGCACCACCTATTATATTAATTACAGTGTCGGCTAGTAACACACAGGGGAGGAGGAAAACGTTTAGTACCTTGTTAATCTTGTCCTTCACCCGGGCAACAAGTACCTTGGTGCTGCGCGGTACTTTGGTGTTAGTGAGGAGGATTCTTAATAATGGCACCCTGGAAGTAAAGCAGACACAACAGAGAGTTCACTCTGCTGCTCCACTGATACACTCATTTACCTGGATAGTATTTGAACAGAAAGCCTATTTCAACTACTATTTACTTTTTTTAACCAAATCAAATACTGGAAAAGTTATTTTTAGTATCAGTACCTGCTCAACGGTATAATCTTTCCAGCTAAGAATCTCAGCATCCCACCTGCTCAAAGAGAAATCTTCATCACTGAAAATACTATCAAATATTCCGTTAATAGTGCTCTGTCCACAGGAGGTGAGTCACCATATTTCATGTGCTGTATGTCAAATTATTTCAAGTCTCACCCCATGTTCCCACAGCATTGTCCACTCCCGAAGGATTACCGTGGATGATCATCTCTCCCTGGAAGGCCCAGCTGTTGATCAGCTCTAGGTCCTCTTGACACCACCTACAATCATACAGAAGTTTCATTATGATCTCTTCATCTATTATCCAAACAGAGAGGGGTATACAGTTCAACTAGTGGTTATTCGGCTCATCAGGATCATCACAGTATGTACAGCATAATGCAGTACAATAATATTTTGCTAAATGTCTGTCATTGACTTTGTCATTGTGGAAACATTTTCCCTTTAACAAAAAATAAAACTATCTTTACATTTGGTTAAAATTCATAGCTGTGATTTTAAGATCTCAATTATTACAGAGGACTTTAAATACTGGAATTGTCAGGCTTTCATTTCCTGTAACAAGTTATTCAGTGCTTAGTAGAAAAGCATTAATAGTGAAGCTTTTTTTCTCTGCGTTTGGAGTGGTTTTGTGTGACGTGAATTTGAGATACTCTTAATTTATTAAATTTTATCAGCTGAAAACTTCAAACCAAATAACTTACGTTTAACAAACACACAAGATATGTGAGAAGTAAAGCCTTTTCCAGATTGGAGAACATTCAGTGTAATAAATTAAACAGCGCAAACCACTGGCTTACTCAAACTGCATTTAGAGATTACCTAAATGAAGAACTGATGATGTCTTTACCTGGCTGTGTGATCCCACTCTTTGAGAGGAGTGGGGATGGCTCCACTGGCACAGAGCAGAGCTGCAGCTAAACACACCGAGTAAGCAGCACTCGAGCCGAGTCCTGCTCCAGTCGGCAGCTCTGACCACACTGTCACCTCCAGGCTGGGCAGCTCACTGAGGAAGGATAAGTGAAAATTAAACTTCTGCTTTTATATACACTTCAAATACTATATCTAAGACTGAGGTTAAGTCTTGATTACTTCACGTATCAGAGGATCTGTTACTGTACCATCATAATATAAAAAACAGACGACCCAAGAGCATTGCTATTTAAAGTCAAAAACAGTTATCTCTACTCGATAATCATTTTGTTCAAATGTTGCGTGACAACTAAGTCATATCCCATTCTTTACGAACACAATTGTTGATACAGTAATGGTAAAACTATGAGTGCCATGAAATAAACTGTAATCCATTCACTTCCATAGGTAACATTAGTTTGCCCGGCTGCCTCACTGTCAGGGAAGCTGCTGTTGGGCAGACAGGGGAATACTCTAAACTAATTGTCCAGCTCTTCTCTCAAGGGAAAAACATATCCAGACTTGTTAAAGGCTACACTGTGGCCCAGTGCCAGACTCTCATTAGTGGCCATCCTGTCAGAACCCATCACCTCTCTCAGACACAGCTGCACCATGTCAGCACCGATTATACCCCGCCAGCAACCTGCAGCTCTAATGTTTCCAACCATCTTCCCCATTCACAGATGCTGGGGTCTCAAAAACAAACATCTGGCCACTCAGTATGTCCATTTTAGCAATCTCAATCTCACCATTAATGTTTTTTTTGTAGATACAGCACTTACAATCACTGCACTTATCTACATACTTTAACATAGCTGATTGCTCTAATGAAGCAATAAAAAGCCAATAAAATGATTGGATAAACAAAAGAAGAGACACTAGAAACTTAGTGCTTCAGTCATCTGAAAAGAAAGATCAGACCTTTGCATGTTTTGATGCTTGCTCTATGTCATTTATAGAAACACTGGGATTTTGGTGTTTGCTTGTTGCACAAATAAATCAATCAAAAGAATCACTTTGAGCTATGGGGCAATTATTAAGATTTTTTTTCATTGGTTAACTAAATACACAAAAAGCAGCACATTAATCAGTAATTAAAATGATTATTAGCTACTGTGCTGCAACTGTCTATCTGTCTCACTCACAGTTTGGAGTTGACTCAAGCCTTGTTAGTCTGTTTCTTCATTTTAACAAAATCCACTCACTGTAAGCATGTGCAGTAGTTGCTGTGCTAAGAACACAAAGTTATATGAAATTCAGTACATGTAACATTTTCCAATGCTTAACACGATTAAGGTGGTAGCTTAGACTAAGGCTTAGACTTAGTGATGGTCATGAATAAATTATGAAATTGCATGTGCCACCTACAGGTAAAACAGGAAACTTCTGCCGTTGAGCAATTCTAGTCCCTTCTTAATACCCTATTTTCAATGTCCATGCTTGAAGGTTTTACTTGTACTGCCTTTAAAGTAAAAAAGTATATATCTAAACACACAATACAGAAGCTGCAAAAAAAGAGATGAAGGAAGTAAGACCTGTTTCCTTCTATTGGTGGGTGTGTCTAATTTTAAGACATTTTTTAAATTTTCCGTTGCCCATAAATAGAGCACATTAACAAGTCTTCAGCTCTGTTATCAGTTATTATATAAAAATCCTGTGAGTAATTTTTAGCTTATGAATGAGAGTAAATTAACAGGGGTGCCTTTTTTATGATCTACAAAAGCAAAGAAGACTATCAGTAACAGGTTTTGCATTTTCTAATTTGTGTTTTTTAAAGGCTTTAACATCTGTGAGGGGGTAGGTGTCAGGCCAGACGACTAATAGCATGCTAAAAAAACAAACTCTCGTTACTTTTCCCTTTAACAAATTTTCACAGTGTTATATATCTGAATGTTAAAAGAAAGCAGGATAGTTTTTGTCAGAAAATACTACTTAGTGTTTACGGGGCAAAAGGGTAAAAGGGTCTACTTTGTCCACAAAAGGGCGTAAAAATCTACACAAACAAAGCTCCTCCCAGAAGATTTAAGTGATTTTTTGTACTACCTTAAAGCAATCTTACTAAAGCCCTAAAACTGGATGACAGGCCTGGTCAGTGGGTTTCAAAACATCAGACATATGATTTGCATTGTCATATGTGCCACATAGCAGCATTACAGAAAAAAAAAGCTTAAATGAACACTATTATTAAAGCTGGTGTCAACACCTCACCTTGATCGAAACAAGGAAATGTAGATGTAAAGAAAGGATAATGAGGCCATGCTGCAAGTATCCAAGTTCCCATTTGTTACACCTATAAAATCCCGCAGTCTTCCCACAAGTTCAGCATCCAGAAGTTTCCCCTCTTCCTTCTTTCCTGTTAACACAAGTGACAAGACATTAGAACCACTGGAATAAAAACATGAAACAAATTTAGTGTGCAATCTTCTATGGGTGCATGCAAAGACTTATCTCCAGACACTTTGCATTTTGATTTTTGAATCAATAAGCAGAATCGATAATGGCATCGATATCGATAAAATCTTATCAATTCCCATCCCTAAACTTTGGTTCCCAGGGAGAACTGAACAACTGGATGTATGGGTCAGATGCAAAAAATAAATTACAGAGTGTCCTAAGTAGGGCCGACCGATTTATAGGCGAGACGATTAAATCGGTCAATTTTAGCCCGTTTGATACTAATCGGTAATAGGCCAAAACTTTTTTCGCCGATATCTTCAGAAATAAAATGCAGAGAATGAGATTCAGTTTCACTTCAAAAACGTTCTGCCATTTGAAAAGTTCCCCAACTTTAGTTAGTTAAGGGTTAGTTGAAAACGCTTTTCTGGTCCCAGTTTGATCAGTTGGTCTTCCTGTTAGCATGAAGAGCAGTAGCCTACAGTATATCTACAGAATATAGTATACTGTAAATATCTACAGTATAAATATTTTTTAAAACTTCATAAAAAAAATTTAAAGATCGGCCGATTAATCGGTAATCAGACCCCCACCCCCCACCCCCACCCCCATTAATCGGTATCGACATCGGCCCCAAAAAATCCATATCGGTTGGGCCCTAGTCCTAAGTGTTGTATCATGCCTTACCACCAGAATAAGAGATGAGCTGCTCCAGTTCAGAAAGATCCCAGGAATAAAACGTGTCAATATTTGGCAGATTAATGCAAACTTTGCCCGTGGTTGTGGCTTTCAGCCTCAAATATGTTCTCAGGTTCAAACTCACAGCAAGGGCCACCTGTGGGGGAAAAAAAACAAGGGAACAGTCAGATTTATCACAAAGGTATCATAGTTTATAGTTCAACATTTAAATCACTGGTTATATTTTAAAAGCAAGAAAATTGCATTTTAAGCCAATTACACTTTTAATAGAAAACTGTACAGGTACAAAGTGTATTGTCTGGAGTTTTAAATGCCATGAAAATGGCATAATTCCGTTTTAACTAAGCTTTTTGTTTTTATTTTCCTTTTTTCATGTGCTTAATAACTATATGTCAAAGCACTTTAGAAACTTTTGTCTTTAAAAGTACTAAACACAATTATATTTTAAAAACATTACCTTCCCATGTACAACTGCATGCTCTCCGTGCAGGATCGCTTTTCCTGGTGCAGACACGAACAAATCTGTGACTTGCATTATTGCAACACTAAAGCAAAAGCCCCAAAATGACCCTAACTTGTCAGGTAGGTCCCCCTCTTCTCCAGCTGGTCACAAAGTGTTAATAATAGCTAGCTTAGCCACCTTTCACTGCTGTAATCCTCTGAAGCGCCCGCAGACACAGGACAGCTCTTCCTCACAGCTCTAAACTTCTCCTAAAAAAATCGACGGTTGTGAAAAGTTTACATCTGCATTTTTCGGTTTAAGTTCTTCAGGTTAGTCTGGGTATGGGTACTTTCAACACGTTGTAGTGGTGCTATAGTATCATGATGAAAACACAGTTGAGCTGAGGATGAAGGCTTGACGAAAAGTATCCAATCAGAGAGGAGGATAGTTGAGCATATAATCTTTTGCCCAATCAGCGTCTCACACTCTCCAACCGCACGTTAGATTGACCAATCGCGCAACAGATAGGGAACGCCTTCTATGTACGGACATCACGGAGGGACAAAAAGTGAACCAATTACTTTCTACTGTTGTTTGCTACCTTTTAGCCTGTTTTGTAACACGACATGGCATCTGTTATTCTAAAACCTACTCACCTCCGCTGCTTCGTGAGGACATGCGGACTATTAAACAAGCGCCGGATAGGGATAACATTGTGCTTAGACAGACGGTAGTTATACATCTCTTTCACTGTCATTCATATAACTAAGGTGTGATTTCATGAGCAAAGTGCTAGCTGTATCTTCGACATGATAAATATGTTGAATCAATTTTGGTATTGTTATTAATTTGTGAAGCTGAAGTTATATTCGTTGTGAGACTGTTGAGTCCCTAAGACGTGTAAATATAGCATCCAGTTGTCTTAACCCTTGAACACTATCGCTAAAATTAGTAACACCATCACTAATATACCCAAGAAAAAGTACTTGTCATCAAAATATATCAAAATAGGACAATACATGAAAAATTAAAGTAGTTGTCTTTTATTTTTAACTGTGCAATGTCCAAAGGGAGAAAGAAAAAGTGCCATAAGTGGACCATACAAAAAATGCAACAAAATTAACTGAAAGTAGGCATTCATGAAACAAAAAAAACCCCCTAAAAAATAAGATATCTGTAGAAACTGTAAACTTAGTTACTATTCCACCCATTCCTTGGGCATGTGAGTCTTCCCTGGTGAAGACTCAGGGTCCTTGGCACAATAACAGCTGCAGGAGAGAGAACCAAAATATGGCATATTTTGAGTGAGTCAAAATGACCAGATGACTAAAATATTTCTTATCACCATATGAATTCCCTTGAAACTCACTACTTTGTCATAGTTACTCATAACCACTACAAAGAAATATAAATAAAGATAGCATGCAAAATTCCAGGACCACTCTTACTGACCTTATTCGCCTACATCAAATCAACAAATATGCCTTCAAAGATGTCAAAGGTAATGCTGAAGCTACCCATCACGTAAACATGTTTGGTCGGGTGAAAAATCACTCGGCGATAGTGTTCTAGGGTTAATATTGTTATCAAATATCATATCCCCTAATCAAAGTCATTCTGTTGTTTAATCCTTTCTCCCTTTTTTTCTTTACAGTTATGCCTCAGAAGGAGATAAGAAGATACCCAAAATATACACCAAAACTGGAGACAAAGGTGTTTTTCACAACTTCACCTGGTGGTCTTTACATATTGTATTGATATGTGTCGTCACATTATTTTACAAATATTGTCTATCTTTAAAGGTTTCTCAAGCACATTCACTGGAGAAAGGAGGCCGAAAGAAGATCATATTTTTGAAGCTCTGGGAAATACAGATGAGCTGTCTTCGGCAATTGGGTAATATTGAAATAATCAGACAAATACAATCACTTTTAATTTTTATTTATGGTGTTGCCATCCAGAGTTGACATATACGGTATGTGTGCATGACAGGTTGGCCAGAGAGTTTTGTGAAGACAAAGGACACACGTTCACATATCAGCTGGACAAGGTTTGGTTTTCTGTTTGCTTTTATGAATTCCCTCCCTGTCTGACATTTAGCATCAACGTTTTTTTGAATATCTTGCTCTTTTCATTCCAGATACAGTGCATTTTGCTAGACGTTGGATCTGACATTGCCACCCCAAGATCATCTGCAAGAGACAGTCATTTAAGTATGCATTGACTGGCTAGCCTAAAGCAGCAAAATGTTGCATTTTGTTGACTTGATCTTCCAGGGTTATCTTTGTTTCTTTTTGTAAGAGAGGACAAAATTTAATCCCCAGCCAATCGCAGAACTGGAAACCTGGATTGATAAATTTACAGAAGAACTTCCTCCTCTGACTAATTTCATTTTACCTGTAAGCCCATTAGAATTACTACATCAAAGTTTTTATGAGAGTGCAGGTTTTTCCCTGTTGTGCTAACACAGTATGTGCGCTTTGTATATCACAGTCTGGAGGAAAGAGCAGCGCAGCTTTGCACTTGGCTCGGACAGTGTGCCGGAGAGCTGAACGCAGGTAAGCTGAAGCATGCCTCTGGCTTCAAATCATGCAAAAAAGACTCTATTATTATTTTTGGTCCTGACAGATCTTTGTACTGGTCATAGTGTTGCTCCAATTGTGCGCTCGGGTGAGGCAGATCCAGATGTTGCCAAGTTTTTGAACAGGTAGGTACAGTGTTTTGAAATTTGCTTGGGAACACTGTTCTTTTACCACAAATCTGATGAATGTCCTCAATTGTTTTCATTTAGATTAAGCGACTACCTGTTCACCGTGGCCAGATATGCTGCCATGAAAGAAGGCAGGGAGGAGAAAATCTACAAAAGACCACAATGACCATTCACCGAAATGGAAAAAAGTACTTCGGACTTGTTTGGTTTGTAAATGCTTGATGACCACATTTCACTTTCTTTGTAAATATAAATAAATCAACAAGGTTCAACATGGTTTCATATTTTAATGACTTCTCAGCACAATGACACATTTTAATCTTTAGTAAAATTTAAGTTGCAAAATTTAAAACTTTTTCTTCAGTACTTTTTTTACTTTGTAGGACAGGTAACGTATCATCAAAAACATAAATTTGATTTGATGTGAAGCAACAGAGAAGCTGAAGACAGCGGAGAGAAACAATCATTGTAAGTTTTAATCACCCACAGAATGAACCACAGTGAACATTTCTCCTCTGATGTGGCTGAGCCCAAATCAGTAGTCTTTTTTTCTGCATATGGCTCTAATTCACATTAGCAAAAGGATAGCATGTCACGACTGTTTTCAGCTTGTCTGTGTTCACCCTCCCACACAAGTCACAGGATCTGGCACCAGCCCTGGCTCTTCTGGGACAGGGTGCTGGCCAAGGTCACCAGAGACAGATTGCGGTCCTCGTAGGGTGGATAACGCAAACGTGTAATACACTCAAAGCGTGTGCTTCTCAGCAGGCATGATTTCTTGTGAGAGAAGGTGTCAAAGCTGTGGCGGCCATGGTAAGAACCGGTTCCACTGGCTCCTGTCAAAAAAAGGGCTATATTTTATAGATCATGCTATTTCATTTATTTAGATCTCCTACAAGACAAAAACAAAACAACAAAACTAGAACAATACGAACAACATACGCATATTACTGGACCTTATTCACCTCATTCATTCACTCAGTGTGGTAATAATCTATAGTCTGATGCCAACAACTTACCAACTCCACCAAAAGGCAGGGCTACCATGAGGCTTTGAAGGACACTGTCATTAGAGCAAAAGCTTCCACTGGAGGTCTCTGCCATCAGTTTTGATATGACCTGTATTGCCGGAAAGGCCATAATATGTCATTGGGATACACAAGCATCCGTCTGTCAAAAAGGACTCTGCTTTAACTCTGTTCTGTACCTTTTTATTGTTAGAATATGCATACACACAGAGGGGTTTCTCCTGCTTATTAATGAAGCTGATTGCCTCATCAATGTTGTTCACTGATAAAATAGGAAGAACTGGGCCATAAACATCTTGTTGCATGATAGGATCGTTTTCTGCTACTTCTGTCAAAACTGTTGGGGCTGCAAACAGAAAAAGAAAGTTTAAAACAGTATTAAAGTGTAAGACAAAAACTAGATCAGCATGTTCCTGGGAATCCAACACAAAGTGCAATTACCAATATACATCTCAGCTTCATTCACTTGCCCACCCACGGACACTTTGCCAGATTTACACAGCAGGTCTCTTGTACGGTTGAAGATCTCTGAATTGACCATCCGGCCATAACTGCTGGACTCTCTTGGATCAGGGCCATAAAAATGCATCAAGCAGCCCTTCAAGGCCTGCACAAGATGTTCTTTCACATCTTCATGACACAGGATGTAATCAGGAGCCACCATGCTCTGTCCAGCGTTGTGAAAACGGGCCCAGGCAATACGCTGAGCGGCAGTTTTAACCTCACAGTTTTGGTCTACATAACATGGATTCTTCCCAGACAAAACCAAGGTTACAGGTGTGAGTGAGGAAGCAGCAGCTTGTGCAACTTTGGTGCCTTCCTCTCTGTTTCCTTGAGATAGGGAGAAACCCAGATTAACTTTTAACATTTTCATCTGCAAGACCAATTAATTCACTTCAAAGCTAAGTTTTATCCATACCTGTGAAGAAGATGTGGTCAAATTTGAGTTTCATCACTTCTAGCAGCTCATTCGTGCCTCCAAGAATCACATGGAAGCATTCCTTAAATGTAGGAAATAAAAAGTTGACATCAGATCAGGGAGTTTCTGCAGCAGCACTGGAGAACTGTACAGTACATTAAACACAACTGCATTACAGCATCAAAACTTCAAGGAAATATTTATTTATTTATTTGTAATTATTTATTTATTTATTTTTGGTGGGTGGTTTTAAAAAATCTTCTGTATTCAACCTTAAACTTGCTTAAATAAATTTGATGGAATACCACCTGTGATGAAATAGAACCAAGAACTGTCTATTACCTGGTTCGGCACAGTGAGTCTTAAAACTTTTGCAGACAAAAAAAAAATACTTTCTAGGTATTGTACTAAAAGTTTCAGCAAAAACACCAACAAAATGTCAGGCTCAGTAAACTGTACAACCAAAAACTCATGGTAACTGTCTTAATTTATTACTCACATTGTCTAAGTAGAAGGGGAAGAGTCGATGAAGACACTCTGCTGTGTGAGAAGTGATGTGAGAGGGGCTGATGATCGCACAGTTTCCTGTAACAGTTCATTGTCATCAGTGACCTCTGCAAGGAGAACTAGTGCCAGAATGACACAGATTCAATGAGTGTGTTGGGTACCTGCTGCGATGGCCCCTACTAGCGGCACCAGACACATTTGGACAGGATTGCACCAGGCCCCCCTGATAAACACCACCCCCAGGGGTTCACTGACCACCACACACTCATCCAACGAGGTGGTCTGTTTCAATCAGTCAGACTCAAAATTAGGTTTCATGAAAACACAGTGAAAGTGGGATTCAGGTCGAACAACAAACAGACAAGTTTAATTCTAACAAATAGGTCAAGTAAATTAAAAGATTTAATCAGCTTGGCAGGCCTGGAACAATACATGTCTTTGTATAAGATTTAGAGCAATCTCAGAGAAGCAGTTTAAATCAGAAACTATCCCAATAACACAAAGCAGATATTTCTGTCAAAACAAAGAGATGGACGGCTTTAAAAGAACAATTGTCTCACCAAGTTTCTTTCCACATGCTGGTGTTGCATCCACTTTTTGACGTTGTTGATGGCATAAAATGCTTCATTTTTAACGAAAATCAGTTCTGCCAAAACTGTCTCATAGCGGGGCTTAATTAAAAACAAAATGAATAAAACAATGTCAAGAAATAAATAATAAAGAAAACCATGTTGATTGTAGTTTTACTGTCCAGTTCTATCAATTCAAACAATTTGTTTCCCTTCTTACCTTATGAAGGTCCCTCGCAAGAGCATCCACAAAGTCACTTTCATTATCCTGCAGCATCCTCACCAAAGCCTCCAGCTGAGCGAGTCTGAAGCTCTCCTTCAGGGTGCGTCCAGCTTTGAAGGCAACTCTGGACCTCTTCAGCAGATCCACACACTCCAGAGGGAAAGTCTTCAAACATTGCTCTCTTAGCCCGGTTCTGAAAACCACCAGGATCATCACAAGTTTTTAACAGCACAGGGCAACCAAAGAAGAACATAACCTCAACCCAAACTTAACATCATCATCTTACCTTGTGCAGGTTAAATGGCCATTTCTCTGACAAACATAGCATGCCTTTAGTTTAAAACTCATGATTTTCCTGTTGAGTATTTTCCACTATTAGCTTTTCTTAGCAGAGTGAGTGTTAAATTAAGCCAATGCACTGGAAAACCCTAGTGGAGGGCAGGGAGAGTAATCAAAATCCTAAAACCAAGCCAATCAGGTGAGGAGAACAAAGAGTCTCTAAACACGTTTTTAACCCAGTGTCTCTAGAACATTATGTGAAAGGAGGAGGAGGAGGCGGTTTCAAGTGGAAAACAGCAATGTCTTAAAATCTCTAGATTTAACTTTTCTTGCTTCCATGCCAATATCAGATTATTCTGTCGTTAAAAAATCATTGAACTCATCTAAATGAAGGTAATGCTATTTAGTACTCTTTAGGACAAGGAAGAGAGAGCATCTGTCACACTTTTAGTCATCATAATGTGTATGCAGACCTGATCTGTCAACTTGCATTGTCTTTGTGATGGAAAGAAATGTGTTACGGTGTTTCAAGCGCTTATTTACCTTCGCAGGGTTTTAAACCATAGGGCTGGAGAGGGGCTAGCTAGGGCTAGGTCGTTCATGGTGACTGGGGGACTCAGGTTCAGGTGATATCAAGTAGACAGCTGCGTCACATCAAAATAATTCAGGCGTATATTTTGATGATCGATTTCAACCTCCCAAAGACTTGACAGAAACTTTGATCCACACTCCTAAATGTATTAGCTTTTGAAATCTAGCTTTTTGCAGTAAGACCCTGCTCTCCCATCATGCATAGTTCCTCTGTGGTTTTGCTGGTCTTCTCAGCAGGTGCTGGTAATGGACTCATCAACAAAACTGGAGGTAATTCACCTTTAGTTGGTGCTTTCAAAGGCTCAAAACTCTCATTGTGTTGCAAATGATTTTCTAATCAGGACAACCTCTCTGAAAAGACACATAACTTTAAAAAAGATGACAATATTCACAAGAAGGGTGAAGACATTTTCCAAGACTATTTTTTATTATCTGTTGTACTAAAAGAGTGGATATCCAAAGTCAACATCTTCAGCAGTCCACTGGTATATTCAAAGCCTCTACAGCCTACTCATGACATCATTTTGAAACAGATCAGACGGGACAGACAAGCTTGTGAGGTATCTTTCATCCCTCTGGTTCTCACACCTGTAGAGTGTTATATAAATCCAGCCGAAGCAAGATCCTCCTATCTTGATTTGTCAGATTTTAAATTAGTTTAATCTCATTAGTATACTGCAGGTAAAATCAATACAACCAACCTTATTTATACATGTATGTGTGTTGGTTGCGCTTAAATTACTTTTCTAATTTTTTACACAAGTTAGTGGCGATCATATTATTATTATAAACATGGCAATAAGGAACTGGATGTTCAGAGGGTTGAGTTACTTAGACAAAAGTATCTATATACTCATTCATGACAGAAAACTGGTCTTTTTGCATAATAAAGAACTTGGTAAGGATTTGATATTTCTTTTAACATTTTCTCTAAAAATCTGCAGTCCTTTTTCTGCTCAATGAATGAAACTCTCCTCCTAGCTTGACATGGAATTAAACCCTGTGTAAAGTAATATTTAGGCTTTTCAGGTGACATACACCCTCATGTCCAAACAGAAGACGAGTGAAGACGATTTCCATCCAAGAGAACATCAAATCAAGCAGACACGTACATTTGGTTGACAAACCAGTCCATGACATCATGTTGTGAGGTTTTTAAGACCTCAGATTCTTTTTCTGCATGGCTTAGAAAGTCCACAGAGATCAGAGAGCGTCTAGGTTAAACCCTCCTCGGTTGTTGTATTTGTAGTGTTGGTAAAGTGGTAGAGATTCTGAACTTTTGTTTGTGGGAGCAGAATGAGTCCAGGAATGAGCCCCTATTTTCTATGGCTTGTTTCCAATATGTGGTTATTGGTTAAAGTTAAAATGGAGTCAGAGGTGAGAGCACAGGGGGGTGGTATTATATGAGGCACTCAGCGTTATTCAAAAGTGTAGTGAGAGTCTTCAGTTTTAGTAGTGTAACATACAAGGACTAACATCACTGATTTAGTACTCTTCTTCTTCTTCTGGAGTGGAGGTCAAACACGGATAAATAAAGACTTTTGTCTGCTTTACAAGGCAGACAGATACTGACAAAACACTTCCAGTTTAGTAAAATACTACAGCAAGGACATCTTTTCCAAACCAGCAGGGTCTGATTTTCTTTGTGCCGACAAATTCTGCTGCTCACCCAAACGGGGCAGGTGTTAAGATTGTTTAAATGTTCTGGAAACAGAGGGCTGCCGTCTCTCTGGTGGCCGCAGCGTCTTTAATAAGGAGAAATGGAGTGAGGTCAAGATGATTCTACTCCTAAATGGGACATAATGTAATCAGCACAGGATCAGAGTTATGAGTCACTCCTCTTTCATGGAGGTTGAACACAAGACATTGATTTGTCTTCCATTTACAAAAGATGCATTATGTTCAGCAAAACATTTAGGACTCATCCAATATCAGCTAAAATTCACTTGGATAATGGAATCCAAGCTTGTAAGTATATTATCAAAGCATCACTTGGTTTCACTCGAGTGAGTCGACCACGTGTCTAATGGCTTGCATTGCATCTGTATTGCTTTCCAGTTCGCTTAAAGTGGGAGTGATAGATCCAAGAGTGATCCTGTTAAGCCTGAGAAACAGAGATCTAGCCACTGAATGTCTGTATTTCATCAACTTAAAACAACCGACATATTGAGTTTTCAGAGTGAAAAAGGGAGATGCTTAAAATTGGATTGCACTGCAGAAACAGCATCCCCCTCTGCTGAGAGAGAGAGTGGTGCTCATCCAGTTTTAACAGAGACATTAGAAGGGTCTATAGATCCTTCACGGTTCCCCTGTTGATCAGGAGATGCCCTTGGACTCCGCAGGCTTCCCTGAAAGACGGTAAGACGAGCCTCTTGTACGCTTCAAGCTGCTGAACACAACCTTCCTGTTCTGAAAACTGTCCTGATGAGACCGAGTTATGACAGCTCAAATCCTGTGTTCATACTGATAGCGTAGCGCAGCTTGTCCCGTAAGATGCTCTTCTTGCTGTAGTTGGGCAGCTTCAGCAGGTTGAAGCACGTTGATGAAGTGGGAAGTCGACCACCGGGCTCCTTCTTGCGGATGGTGAAAAAGCCCCTGAGGACACTGCCAAGGGTATCTCCAGTGTCCTGGAAACAAGAAGTCCTCTGTTAGTACAGTAACAACTTGTAAGCAGCATAGATCTGTCGGATGCTCTTTTTTATCTCACCTGATCATCTGACACTTCCACACAACGGATGGAGAAAGGTGGTTTGAGGTAGGCAAAACCAAGAAGAGGCGGCCTTGAGCAGCTGGTGACAAACTTTAGATAGACAACGAATGAGACACTGGTTAAACAACTCAAACTTTGAATTACAACCTTGATAATTAACTGGAACAAAAAGCAATGAAACAATTTACTTTAAGGAACATAGCCCTCTCTTCAGCAGTGAAATCACTGGACAGGATGTCCCATAACCAGATGATGACACGATGGCTGCTGTGAAAACCTCCATAATAAACTGTGTGTTTCCTGGTTTGAAGAAAAGAGAGGAAGACAAGGTTCTCTATGTGCATCAAACTAGATGAAGATAATCATTCCTGTATTTTCAGATACATTTCCTTATGAAACTTTGATGAGTAAGAGTGTTGCAGTGACGGTTAGTATGTCTGAAAACATACTTGAGATCATCTAGATCAATCTCGGCATTGTCTCCGGAGACGAGACGCTGAACCTCAGGTGTGGAAAACATATGCAGCCACTCAGGGTTAATGATGCTGCGGAATCCCCGAATGAAAGCTGCTGTCTGCTCCTTAATCTGCGTGTGCATCCTGAAGTGAGCCATGAGGTGGATGTAACTGATCCTGCAAGTAATGAAAGAGTCAGACACTTTTGTTTGTTTTTGACTGCACCACAATCAGTTAATGGAGAGCAGTTAAGACTTAAAGAAAATGATCAGTACTCTTTTAATTTATATTAAATATTGATCAGCATACTTGTTTTCGTTGGTGACTGGCATTGTTTTCCCTCCAGGTATCAACTCATGGCAGACAAGCTGTAAGGCAAGATACAAAGAAGCCTTTTACCTATGAAATTTCATGTATGTAACTCCAGTGTGTTGAATCTTATTCCATTCTTACCTGCCCCATTACGTCTTCGTCATAGGATAATGTCAGCCCCAGATCCCCTACATCTCCATCATAGCGCTAATGAAAGAAAAAAAAAGACTCATAGATGTGAGGAGGTGACGGAAATGTGTCACATGAAGGAAAAAGGAAATTGTCAAAGAGCATTTACCTTTATTGAAGTGAGGTTCTTGTAAAACTCAGAGTCCAGTGAAGGCAGCTCATCGATGGAGCTGTAGAAAGTGCTGTGATGGTGACCCAAGACTTGACTGAGGAAGAAGGAGGCAAAGGGGACGTCCACGACAATGCCCTAAATACAGAGGAATAGCCGTTACACTTCCTCTTAAGATCTCTTGAAACAATGTTCTCAGAGTGAAAGCAACAGTTCTCCAGAAAGCACAAATATACCTCGTAGACAGCTTTCCCGAGCATCTTCCCCACAAACTCAAACAACTGTAAGTGGTTCTCGTGGATGTACGATGTAGGTGAAGGATACAGCCTCTCATTTCCACTTGTCGTCTATAGAAAAAAAAGTATACAAAAACACTTAACTCAAAGGCAGCAGCAGATGGTGGCGGCTCAGAAATCACAATGATACACAACAGCCTTTTCTTACCTTGAACAGGTTGAGTGCAGGATTAAACACCTTCTTAATGATTTCTTCCAAAAACTCTTTGAACACACCGTCCTGATCTATACCAGCTTCGTCTACCCCCAGATCATTGACAAACTTCACCCGAATTACACCCTTTATAGAATTCACCGGTAATCTGCGAAGCTGGTCGTATCCATCCTTAGAGAGGAAAAAAAGTTATTAGAGAAAACGGCGAATAACATTTCAATTAGGATAATCAATCTAATCCGTTGATCCATTACCTCTAACATACGTGAGCGACGAATGGTGATATGGGTGACATGTGGTGAAGCAGAGCTCGTTTCTACCAGTCCTAGACTTTCTTTTTCCTTTGTGACAATGTTCCTGAACAGCAGCACCCTCTAAAAATGAAACAGAAAGGTAACAATAGAGCTGAAAGAGAAAACGACACTCAGCCTCAAACTGAATGATCCTGATTACTCACATTTTTGTGTGGAATGACATGTGGGATGTACTGCAGTAAAAGCTGGGCTCTCTTCTTGCCTTTCTCTAACTCTTGGAACAACAGGCTGGGCTTTAGGTCCCTGAATGCAGCATGACAAAGATGAAAAGATGAGCTTTAAAATGTTATCACAGTGCAGACAATACAGAAAGCTGGTTTGTATAAAGATATTAAAAGCTGTTCAGTGTTTGTATTTACTTGCGCAGCCAGTGCTCATCAGGGGTGAATCGTCTTCTGCAGTCCCTCTCATAAAGCACCATCAACCAGCCATGAACACTGTGGAACAGCTCCAGCTTCTCTCCCTTTGCATTTTCTATGAAAAACAACTCATGAACAGCTTGTTCGTTCGAAAACAAATCTTTAATCAAATGCCATGCTCACACACTGACCTAAGATGCCGTCCCAGATCATCTTGTACACAAATGTGTTCAGAAATGAGGAGATGGTGATGAGCTCTTCTATCTTGAAAGATGTTTGTTCTTCATAGACTTCAATGTCATCAAGAATCCTGGAACACAATAATTAGATCATAAAATGTCACCACCATATTAGGAACCTTGTGCACATCACAGAACAAGTCAGTGAACTTACGTGATCAAGTGCCTTGAGCAGTCGCAGAAAAGCATGAGCATAGCCAGGAGCTGCTTGGACTCTTCAGTGTCATTGTTTAGGCACTCCATGAAGAGTTTGAGGCCGCCCTGAGGGCCAAGCTCGCAGATGAAGGCCCAAAGTTTGGGCAAAAGGTCATCAAGGTGTGTCAAACCTGTCAGAAAACAGATCATGTATAGTTACAAACTCTTTAATGAACTTGTTTGAAAACACTAAAAGTTTGCATTATAATGGAAAATGTATGAGTCTAGTTCTGACCGGTGAGAATCTGAAGTCGTATTTGTGTCAGAGTGGACAGAGCTGTCTGATACAACACACAAATGCTGCAAACTTTCTGAACTTCAGCTGAGTCAACTCGCTTTCCTCCAACTGGTTTCAGGATGTTTCGTACGGATGCGGACTTCTGAAATGCTCGCTTGAAGAGGTCTGTTGGTAAACAGAAACCACACATCATGACATAGAGACCTCAAAAGACAGCACTTAGTTTAGATATTGAAATAAGTTTGGGTTGCGACTCACTTTTAACTGGTAGATTGTTCTGGGATGTGCTCGGCTGTGGGGGTGGGGGTGTAGGCTCCTGGCTCTCCAGCTTTTTAGAGAGGACATCACTGAAGAGTGTCCGGATGACAGAGACACCCCACAGGTACTGAAGCTGTTTAGTGACCAGCGGCATTGATTCATTCAGACTGAGGAGAAAATAGAGCATGGTCCCACATGATTATAGGGCCTGTCAAACCCGACCATCCACTACTGGTTTTCAGCCTCTTCCTTTTTGTGCAGTGGTTCCAACTCTGAATCTTTCAATTATGTTATGCACTGCCAATAATGGTAACCCCAGGATTTTTGCAGCATTATGCAGAAGAACATTATTCTGACATTGCCGATCATGTTGTCTCTCAGAGTCTTGAACCTCAGAGTCAGCCTCTCTGTCATGTTACTAATCAAGTGCACATTACCAAATAGTTGGAAAGTGTTTCTCTAAGCGTGTTTTTAGCACAACTTTTCCAGTTTCTTATTGTCCCAATTTTCATTTTTTTCTCAATTACAGGGTTTAAATTATTTGCAAACCATGAAAATCTGTTTTAATTGACATCTTACACAACATCCCATCTTTTTTTGGAATTGGGGTTGTATATTTTTACCTCCAGAGCCTTTTTGTCACTGATTTTTTTCTGATCAAGAATTGATTCCTAAATCGTTTACAGCAAATACAGAGTATTTTACTTACCCATAATCTACAGTTTGTGAGAACCAACCGAGGACAGGGTGCCAGTGAGTGAGATTGGACTTCTTTTGGGACACGTATCTCTGGCAGTATGACAGCATGTCAGTCAGGTCCTTCACAAAATGGTTGGCCTCCTCTTCTAGAACTTTCTCATTCAAATAGCCCAGGTGAATCAGGTTACCTGTCATGTATCAGAAAATGTCATAGTAAATTAAACTACAATATTCCCAATGATAGCCTCATATGTACACAAGAACATGTATTTATGAAAGAGTAAGCTCATATTTCTTCAAAATACTGTACCAAGTAGACAGAGTGAGTGGCTCCCCTCGAGACACACACAAATATCGAGACACTGTTCTTCTCGGCTGAGAAACAGAATGAACTTGCGCAGCAGGTCATGTGTTTGGATGGATGCCATGCACTTGTTGAGACAAAGTGGAAGTCAAAATCAGCTCTTTAAAAGTTTCAATTACAATACCACTATGTAATAATCACTTGTGTTTTATAACAGGGCTCTTACCTCTGGTGTCAGCACATTGAGGTGTGACACAACCGCCGGAACTGACATGATGTGAATAAGGAATGATCTTAGCAGGTTTTCAGAGAAGTGAGCAGCAATGACCGGCCTGCAAAATACGAGATTAGGTGATATAAAAACCTTACAATAACATAAATAATCTCAAAGAAAATCAGATAAGATATGCCTTCTTTGCTGACTGTAATAAAAACAGGAATATTACCTTTTTTTCTAATTAATTCCCAAATTGACAACCATTAATTTTCCAGCTCTTACTCACCTTAATGACAAAGTGAATATAGCAGTCAGACTCCCTTTGGAGAGTGATGGTTTAGAACGAGCCAATCCATTAGTCAGCAAAATCTGAACATGAAAATTTTAATATTAAAATGAAAAAGAGGTGATACACTTTAAAAAAAAAAAGGTTTGATTAAATTGAAAAATGTAAGCTACAACAACTAACCTGCAATACTGAATAGAATCCCTTTTGATTGAGATGGCCCATTATATTTTCACAGATCTTTGTTAAAGCAGGTCTGAGTGCTTCTCCTGTAATAAAGGGGGAAAGGATTATGTTTTTATTTGTTATTGCAGGAAGTGTGCCCTGTAAATACAGCTGTTATGTTTACAATACACCTCAGCTTGTCCGAGACTTACCTTTCCCTCTGGCTATCTGCCAGGTTGAAGTGTCTGTAAATGTCAGCAGCATGGTGAGGTACAACGTTACTAATTTATTGTCCTGAAGTATGTCGGGCTGAAAGTCCAAAAAAACAAACAGTGATATGCACAATTATAATCAACACATTAGTATTTTAATAATGTTTCAAGACTAACCTTTAAAGTTTTAATTCTCTGACAGCAGGTCCACAGCACATCTTTTATCTGTTTAAGCCAGGGAATAGTGAGATCTTTGGAGAGCGCCAAGGAAACATACCAGACCTGGGAACAAATGTGAGAGCTGTCACCGAGAAAGATCTTATGAGTACAAACCACTTTTATTTATGGAGTGTTAAAACATTGTCACACTTACTTTAGGTTCATTTTCAACCTCCATGCTGGCTAGAATTGCACGACAGAGCTTCTCAAACCTCTGAGAAATTGACAAAATAAGAGTCATTGGAGTCACAAAGCCTGAGTTTAAACTGCTGCAGCTTGACACCGTTAAATAACAGTTTAAATCCTCCAAAAGTAAATACTTTTAGGAGAACTTAGAATACTTATTATATCTTTTAAATATGAAGGTCTTTAGAGTAAAACTGTCAACTCACCATCTTGTCTTCTGGAGAATATATGAATAGTAATTTTCTGGCAATTTTGAAAATTGAGAGTGCATTTCTTTTCGTTGCCCCTGCCTCAGAAGTTTGAAAATAGTCATCGACCTCTTGCCTGATCAGAAACAAAAGAAAAATATTGAGTCAGTGTTTTAATAATAGAGATGAGTGGTGACCTTATTAAGAAATATATATTTCTATAGTAGTGGTATGTGATCAGAGACTACCTTAGCTGCTTCTTGAGCCTGCAGCGACAGAGAAATCTCCTGACCAGAGCCTGGATTTGGATTGCAGCTCTCTCCTTCTCTTTAAGTCCTTTCCTTTCCTCCCTGGCCTGTCTGGCTTTGTCCAGGAACTCGGACTTGGAGCTTTGAGGTACACTAAACATTGTGCACCCTGGATAAAGGAAAAACCATCACACTCCACTTGAATGCATGCTAATAAATCACATCCTTAAATTACTGGCATGTAAACGATGGCTTCAGATCAGTTTCACCTGCCTTTTAAAATCTGTAAACTACATTAATAGCCAACAGAATAACAAACTTACCCGCGATATTCCTGACACGAAGCTTCTGTTTAGCCTTGAGGCTCACCTAGCGCTATACCTCCTCAGTCATTTGGTTGTCCTCCAGGTCCAAACAGCAGGAAAGCCAAATGTAAGATGAAGACTTAACTTGCAATCCCTGGAGCTGCGGACGATCCAGTAAAGATGGAGCTGGGACAGTTAGCACACAAGGCTAAGTCGCCGCTTGTCGGTGTGATACTGTCTCGGAGAAATTCTTTTCACATTGAGTTAGTGGTATTATTTATCATAACGGGCTTATGTTTAATAGCTTGTCCATGACAGCATCGAAAACACCGGGGTTATACCGTTTCGAAATGTAAACAATGAGAAGGGATCCGTGCATAGACTGCAGCCATTAATCCACCTGTGTCGCATTTAATGTTTCCGGGTAGTTTATCTACAGGTTTGAATCATTTTAATACACTATAACATAAAAGAACGACTAGTATAAGCCAGGCAATCTTTGTTCAAAAAGTAACAATAGCAACTTTATCTGCAGTACTGAATACAGCTACCGTCCAAGATACTGGGTGGGTGGCGGGGGACTGTTTTCACTGTTACACTCCTACACTCCTTCAGTGGAGGAAATAAATGTACTGGCAAAGGCATGTTAGGGCAATTTTTACTAAATTATAAAATATAAAATGTTTAATTCCCAAATATATCGGACAGGGATTATTTATCATTAATTATGTGTTACTTTAACTTGACTAGAAACTCTCAGTGTCATCAAACAAAAAATATTTACTGTCCCTTTAAATGACGTACTGGGACGTTGACGTAATTTTTCGAGCTGCGCAGCTTTGAACAGGTGTTATGCCGTAGATTGCACCCCTGCCGTAGAAAGCATCCCCTGCATCCCATTCACTTATTAGCTTCTTGAAGTGGAAGAAAATGATATCATATTTTAAAAAAAACACGGGTATTTTATTAAGACAACATGTTAAATGGAGCAGCAAACTTTCGTTCTGTTGTTTTGTCTCAAAAATGCATACATAGAGGTGTACTTGAGTATGTAAACTGTACAGTAAACTGTCAAGCTAGGGCTATTGTTTTCGGCTTATCTGAATAGCCCAAATGAAATCATTGAAGGCACACGCTTTTAAATCCATCCAATGGTTAGGAAAACTTGGATTATTTCGCCTTGTTAAGTACTTTAAACCGCGCTTCCGCCAGGGAAGTGCATTCTCCGGAAGGGGTGCATTCTACGGCACAACACCGGAAAGAAGTGGGTGTTAGCTGATTGGCGTTAGCGAGCCACAATTCTCAAGTCTGCTGCGGGTTCTATGGTAAATATTATCAGGTTTTATCAAAGACCACTTATAAAAGCGCTTTGAGGGGTATATTGAGAATGTGGTTTTGGGTACCTAGTGTCTTATTTTGTTTGTATTATGCCTCATTTTCTTTTACAAATGAGATTACTTTAGTTGATGCTAACTAGCTAACGAACTAGCTCATCAATCATGCTAATCTGAAAAATAACTCGTCACCGGGTTTGGAGTTCTGGCTCTGAGTTTTACAAGAAACACACATAATAATCGTCTCGGATGATTACAAAAACATTATAGTGAAGTTAATAGCGACATTACAATATTGTACACAATATCGTTGCTGTCTACGAATCTGCGAATCCGCCTCGTTTTCATAGAGCAGCTGTGAGTTTCTCCAGAGAGGAATTGTGCCCCTAAATTTGGTTGTGATCCGTTACTATTACAGGACATACAATTTTCAGAAAAGAAAGCTTCAATGTGAGCTGTACGGTATTTGTTATGTGTTGTACGGCACAAAACAAACAATGAGACATGTACCTATATGTGACTGTCCGGCCCTAGATTGAAACCGGTGTGTTAGTGCCATAGACTGTATACAGAAGTAAAGAAGTATTGTGTATATATAGTCTATGGTTAGTGCCGAAGGATCAAACCAAAACCCATGTGTTTTTCAGTATGTTTAATTTTGCAGCAAGAAGGCTTATCACAAACGTGATATTCTCTACTTTTACGCATTTAACAAACAAATAGAACAGAATTCAACTTTATTGTCATTGCACATGTCACAAGTACAGAGCAACGAAGTGCAGTTTGCATCCATCCAGAAGTGCTTAGCAAGTATAAATATATTTACAAATGTACAGGGTATGAAGGAGAAATATATACATGAGTATGTCACGGAATATAAGGCTTTAGTAGTGTATGTACAGGCTATGAACAGATTATACATATGGTTATAAATATGAAAGCTATAAACAGACTATAAATATGATTATGTAACATAAATTATGTAGTAGTTTTTTGTTAAAAATGCAGAATAAAGATCGAGAAATTCGACAATATCGTAAAATCGCAATTGAATCGGCATCCAAAAAAATCCTCCATAAGGGTTATATCTACCAAAATTAATACTCCTTTGAGTTGACCTGTTCACTGACAATTTAACTTCTTCCTCTCTTAAATTGATCCTATTTATTGATACACTAGTCCTGCTCCAGGTGTCAGCAGATGTTTCACCTTGTTTTGTCACAGGAAGAGATGTCAGGTGAGAGTGTGGTGAGCTCGGCAGTGCCAGCAGCTACAACCCGGACTACATCCTTCAAAGGCTCCAGCCCCAGCTCGAAATATGTGAAGTTAAATGTTGGTGGAGCGCTGTACTACACTACGATGCAGACACTAACCAAACAGGACACGATGCTTAAAGCCATGTTCAGTGGCAGGATGGAGGTCCTTACAGATAGTGAAGGTAAGATAAGATTTTCTTGACATTGTAGTTACAATGGAATTTTGTAGCTCTTGGGGTGAAGAAAATATCAATAGGATACAAGATGAAATGAATGATAAAAATGTAAAAATACTGAGACCAGCAATAATAGGACAAAAAAGAATAAAATCAATGTTTACATTATAAAGGTGAAGTGATATTACTTGGATCGTGCATTCAAAAAGGGAGCTTTTTTGCCCCCATTACAAAACATTAAGTCACTGGCAAGGATCTATTTCCAACAACTAATTTGTACCGTTTCTTATCAACAGGATGGATTTTAATTGATCGCTGTGGGAAACATTTTGGAACAATCCTCAACTACCTTCGAGACGGAGCAGTGCCGCTCCCTGACAGCAGGCGGGAAACTGAAGAACTGCTCGCTGAGGCCAAGTATTACCTTGTCCAAGGCCTGGCTGATGAATGCACAGCTGCTTTACAGGTATCACAGAGGGCCAACAGTTGCACAGAGCAATATATCAATCTGTTTACAATACTTGGAAATATGTCTTTACTTTCATTTCATAGATTTTTGTGTGCTTATTATAGTCTGTAACATTTGTTGTCGTTTAAAGCCTGCCGATCGATAAGAAAATCAAAAAACAGCTGAAGAAATACGATATTCTCATTGTTTTGAAATACTCTTGACTAGACCCATGCAGAAATAATTTTTGAATATTTCTGTGACATCTGGTGATGGGCAGTAGTTATCGTTGATCTACTCTATTCATAGATTTATACTTTTGAATGGTGGATATGTTTTTTAATGTAAATTGTGTTTGAATGTAGAACAAAGAAACTTATGAACCCCTTTGTAAAGTGCCTCTGATGACGTCCTCTAAAGAAGAGCAGAAGCTTATTGCAACCTCCAATAAGGTCAGTGGAGTGGTTTTTCTTTGACATACAGTATTTCGCTGAATTTTAAGTGTTCATAACAATTAGTCAGTTATCATTTAACAAAACTTTGTTGCCCTTACAGCCTACTGTCAAATTGCTGTATAATAGGAGCAACAATAAATATTCATATACCAGGTGAGTCTTTTTTACTCATTCACTGAACTAAGATGTCTTCTTAGAAAAAGTTTGCTGATTAAGAAATCCCTGTGCCTTTTATCTTCTAGCAACTCTGATGACAATATGCTGAAAAACATTGAGCTGTTTGACAAGCTCTCATTGCGCTTCAACGGACGGGTGCTCTTCATCAAAGATGTTATTGGGGATGAGATCTGTTGTTGGTCATTTTATGGCCAGGGGCGCAAAATTGCAGAGGTGTGTTGCACCTCCATCGTCTATGCCACAGAAAAGAAGCAAACAAAGGTATGAGTATATTTTTATTTATTTGCCCCTAGAGAGATAAGAATGTTTTGTCTTAGTATCATATGTGTAATTCTTTTTCCCTCCCAGGTGGAGTTCCCTGAGGCTCGAATCTATGAGGAGACCCTCAACATTCTGCTGTATGAGTCCCACGATGGGAGGGGTCCAGATAACGCCCTGCTGGAGGCCACCGGAGGTGCCGCAGGACGATCTCATCATTTGGACGAAGATGAAGAACGAGAGCGAATTGAACGTGTTCGTAGGATTCACATCAAACGACCCGATGACCGCACTCACCACCACCAGTGACCTTTCACCCTCGACCCGTCAGCCTGTGTCTGTGACTCCGGACAGTCTTTGCACCACGCTTGTGCCTTACATCACCCAGCGCCTCTTTTTCACTCCCTTCCTTATTTTACCAGCTTTTCCTCCAGGAAATTACAACAAGATGTGTATAATGGTTGGGCGATTTAATGAGAGTTCATTTGTTGTTGTTCTTGTTGTTGTGTTGTTGTGTGGTCTTGTCCTTTTGTTTTTCACGATGACTCCTATCAGTGTTCTCTGCAAGATTTCTGTTGACAAGTCTGTTCGTATTCACTGATGCAAGCAGTTTTGTGTGTGTGTGTGTGCGTGTATGTGTGTGTGTGTGTATGTTTGAAAAAAGTATTGTCAATATGAGTCTTGTAGTCTCAACTACATCACATCAAGGAGAACAAAAATGATATCATGTTAGCAGCTACAATTAAATGTGGACGATTTTGCTTCTCCTTACTGTGGCTCTGGCGGGTCTGCTGTGAGGTCACCCATGGATTAGTTGGACGTCGTACACAATGAGATGAGACCACATGGGGGCGCTGTTTAACTTTTAGAAGATGTTACCAAGGCTGTATGGTAGCCCACAGATTATAGCAAAAAATCTTTCTAAAATTTTTGATACAGTTATCACAGATGAATGCAGCATTTCACTGTAGTGCTTTTTTTCTTATTTAGTTTAAACATTTATGCATTTTCTCTTCACGAATTGTTTATTATTTTTAGTGGCAGGAACTTGAGCTCTGATGTAAGGTGTTAAATGTGCTGGGGGTGATTGAATGATCAGTACCGAGGTTGAAGTGAATGACTGTAACCAGATATCTCCCTGGCAGGAAGGAAATCCTGTCTACAAGCTTTTAACAGGAAGAGAAATTAGACCTGTCCTTCGTCGCTACATTCATCACAGAATGAACTGTTTGCACACAATAGATTTGAGTTGAACTATGTGGAACAATCGCAGTACTTGTAGGTCTGTTGTACAAAAGTGAGCATATATGTATGTTTTATATTTATACATACTTTATCAAGAATAAATTTCTAGAAATACTTCTTTGTCTGATTTTATTCCCCACATTGCCATCATTGGTGAGCATAGAAATTATGAAACTGCTTTATTGCTTGGTTTAGAATTACAGAATATACAAAAAGCTGGCTGAGTAATGTTGAGTTTAAACATTCAGTTTGAAAATAAGATGATAAAACTTTGATTTCACCATAAAGAAACTAAAATCAGATTAGGCAACAGATAACAGTTTAATCAAGGACAACAGTAGGCAGACATGCATCCATAGCAACAGTGTACTCTTGGGAAATTTTATATTGCTAAAAGATAATGGCCAATCAGTAAAAGGCATGTAACAGTTGTATAATAAGGTGTATCAAACATTCTGTCAGTATTATTTTGGTTTAACTTTTGCTGGACAACAGAATACAATCATTCAAGTTGATGAAATGCTTTTGTGCCTGCTGAGTTATGTTTCCTGTAGACATGTTTATCTCCCTGTAGGGGTCTCCTGATGAAATATGCAGGGGCTTCTTGTGTGTCTTCTCACCTCCACATGTTACCGTGTCCTAGCCCGAGTGGCAACCTGCAAGGACAAAAAGCTTGAATCGTGTTCTGCGCATTCATTCAGTGAACACACTCTTCATCACCATCATAACACCCGTCTCACCACCATGAGGTGTCCATTCTTGGCCTTGTACACCATGGGCTCCTGTCCAGTGCCGAAGTCCACTGCGCTTTCTTTCCCTGCCTGAATTTCAATCTTGATACTGAAAATTTATACAAACAAATGTTTGAGAACAAAACATAGAGAATCAATTCGCATTTGTTGTTCAGTAAAAAAAAAGAAACGTACCTGCCCTGAACCACTTTGATTGCACTCTGTTTGTTTGCGATGACGCTGAGTTTAGTCAGAAACTCAAATAAGTGATCACACTGTAATACGAGGTCTCCCTGAAACAAACACAAATCAAAAGACAGATCAATCTAAATAACAAGAATTAGTTAACCCTTTATTTAGCATAAACTATACAGAATGTACCATTTTATTTCCTTATTTCAACATGAAAAAGAGGTTCAAAAATGTTTAATTAATCACAGTACAGACCTCTGATCTTCTACATACCTTTTCTTTAGGATCCTCACAAGTTATGTGAACAACTATGATGGTGTCGGTTAATGTACTGACCGAAATACCTGCAATGATAAGATGGCAGACACTTTTAGCACAATATGAAAACATAACAAGCATGACTGATGTAATGTATCACATAGTCCAGACCTTTGAGAGAAGTGTACAGAACTCTCTGTTTAATTTTGGCCTCCTCTATCACATAAGCAGCTGCCTTAGTGAGGATGAGTTGCCGTGGCCTTGGTTTAAAACCATTCCTGTCATACTTAATGACTGAAACACTGTACTGCAGAAACACAAGATAAAAGAAAGAGACACTCAATGATGTGTAGTGGAACGGTTTTACATTTTGGGAATGCAAGGATACTTAAATACCTTGATCTGCTCATTGCGAATCATCTGGAGAACCCTTGGGTTGATTTCTTGTTCACCTGTAAGTATTTGATAATATTAATGATGATTCCAAAATACACAGTGGGCATGTGAGTGTATTTATGTAAAACCTACTGATCCTGGTGTCTAGAAAAGGTATAGCCACACTCTGTGGATAACTCTCCTTTTTGCCCTTGAAGATGGAGCTGGTTACAAGCTTCAGTTGCATCTGAAGGGCAGAAAAATAAAGAGTTTATCACTTCTTCAAAATATGCAATAACAGACACTCCTATAATACTTGACTTTCATTGGGTTTACCTGCGCTTTTCTCTGGGGTGTTATTCCTCTCACATACTTCCGCACCATGAGACGGTAGTGAAGCTTACGCAGGATTTCTGATGTCTGACAAGAGCAATAAAATAGAATATATGTTGAAATAAAATACTCGCTGAAACCAAATGTGATGTTAATTCTGTGTCTTTTTTTTTTTTGTTTGTTTGTTTTTTTTGTTTTGTTTTTGTACCTCTTCGAGCACAGCAGCAGGCTTTAGCCAGGTTGTCTTATCCAAAACAGTTTTTGGCAGATTGTCTTTGAGTCTGTTCAGGTAACTTTGTCTCACAAAGGCCAGGTACTCTGAGTTATCTGTGGTTTTGGCTTGTCCTCTGGTCATGTAACCTTTGATAAATCTACAGTTGATGATAATAATAACTTGGTATTAGTGACATGACACTATCATGGTGACTATGGGGGAGCCCTTTTCTGATATTCTTACTTTTTGATGACTTTGACAGCCCAGGCTCTCTTCTCTTTCTCCTTCCTCGCCTGCACTCCTCTCCAGCAAGTCTCAATCTTAGTGGCTTAGGATGTAAACAAACATGGTTCTCCCTTACACTCAAAGAGCAAAACAGTATAACGAGTCATGTCCGCATCATGTGTAGTGATATTTACCAGCTTCTTTTTGTCTTTTGAACTCTCCTTTTGCTCTGTAACCCTTGTATTTGGCCTGTAGCCTTGTTGCTGCAGATTCAGAGCATGATGGGAAATCAGTGCCAAGCTACAAAAACTGTCAATGAGAAACTGTGGATTTGTACTCACCCAGGTCATGTTTACATTTCTCAAAAGCATCCTCTGTGGCATAAAGTGTCCTTGGGTGACGGATGAATATTTTGGTCCTTAAACAATAAGAGGAAAAATGATTGGTTTCTCCTAGTGAAGACGGTTTTTGTTTTCTTAAATCTAGAGGGTGCTGTGCTCACCGTCCCATTTTGTATTCATCTGGAAAGTAGCCCAGATGTTGAACTAGCACTTCCACTCCATCAGCAGGCATGCCTCTCCAGTGAGGCCAGGTGGCAGGGCATAGGGGTTTATATCTGCAAGATGCAAATAACCCACTCAGCCTGCACTCAATCCGAGGTGTTTTAGTTTTAATTGAAAAATCAAGAACATGTGTGAGCCCTGCGCTCCTTCATACCTCTTTAAAAAGTCTTCATATTTTCGTCTATAAGCAAAACCTGCTCGTCTGACTCTTAGGTGCTCCATAAGGCCTAGATACTTCACCTGGTGCCTGATCAGTGCTTCATCAAATTGGCCTGAGTTTGTGTGAAACATACAATGATCAAATTTCCATACTGGTGTTAAAATAGCTTATAGAACCCTCTGTTGATGTGATCACCTGGCTGCTTTGACTCGTTTGATTTCAGACAGCGGATGTACCAGGCATCTTTAGCCATGAGGACCTCTGTCAGCTTCAGCAGGCTGCTCTTAAACTGGGTCGCCACCTACAGACAAAACATGAAGATCATAATCCCCAACAGTTCATCTGTCACTTACATATGGTCTAAAGACGACACAGTCAGACTGCCACTGACAGTCTCAGGGGTCAATCTTCATCTCAATTATCATCACTGTGCACCATGCTGTTCTGTTCCTCAGAGAAATACACCAAAAGACGTTATAAAATCTGTTTCACTTATATCTATATGCATTACAGTTCTTCTTTCAAAGCTTTACATGTTATTTTAAATAAATCTTTGATTGTTTGGGGATAATGAGCACCAGTTTGTAATACGTCAGCTGTATTTTTACATAAAAATGTGTTGCCTGCTTTCGGGGACATTAGTAGTTGTTGAGGAATATCTTTCTGCATAAATAAACAACCCTTTGTCTGCCAAATATAATGCCACACACACACAAAAAAACTAAAGTTACATATTGTGCTCCAAATATTGTACAGCATTAAGATATGGAGGGTCTAACATGTAAGTACTCACTGTTTCCGGTCTTCTCCTGCTGTCTGGATCCACTGTGGAGAAGCACTCTCTAACTATGGCATTTTTAGACTGACAAATCAGCTGTAAGAAAGTCAGGCAATACCTTTTTACCTTAATGTGAATTTTTTACAGCAATGATAAAAGTAAAATTATGGTCATGAAGTTTTTGTTATGATCGGTTTGTACCGTGAAAAAAATCTAAATCAAAAATATGTGGACTTACATCTTTAATGTTTCTGTATAAAAGATCGTTGTTTTTGTCCAGGAAACCTGAAATTTCGCAGAATTTGGTTATCATTTCAACATTTTTTAAAAATATTCAGATGTTAATAAATCAGGGCCTAACTTTGTGGTTTCTTTTACCCACAACACAGTAGGTGACCTCTCCGGCATAATGTAAGAGACGGAAATCTCCCCTCTCGAGACTCTTGCGCGTCATTTTGTCGGCCAGTTTGTGCCTGCAGTCAAAGAGGTGAAAAGAGACAGAGGAGTAAAGACTGAGAGGCTTTCCAAGTCCGAGCTTAATCCTTTGTCTCAACTATCTCCCTCTGAGTTTACTCATGAGACACAGACTGGCAGATTGTCAGTGAAATGAAGTTTAATGTTGAAAAGTTTAGAAGTAGTTTGCAGTTTATGAAAACAAACATTCAATTCCTGATTGTAAAGACCCAAAACTTTTACCACACAAGCATTTTACAATAAGCTAAAGCAAAGATGATGTGATTTGTGCCAGTTACCAGGTCATCTTTTGTATTTTAAGGCTGCTAAACGTCGTTAAATCACCTAAACATGTTTTGTCTTATGTATAGTTTTAACTCACGTGACAAAGTGAGGATGATTTCCCATCTTGTCCTCCAGCCTCTCCAGGAAGGTAAGATCTGTGGCATCTCCTGGCCTGAGACACTCCTCATCCTGCAAGATTACCATAGATACAATACAATTATTCAGCCCAAGTGCATTATATTACAATATATTCTATATCATACTACAATTTTCTTCAGTCACGATAAATACGAACAAGTATGGATATGATTCCTCTGTGTTTCTCCTCAACCAGATCACAGATGATCTTGTTGTTGAAGAATTGAACCGGCTCCCACTGAAGAAAACAGGCAGTGGGTGAAAAAAACTCAATAACATTGGAAGTTAACTGACTCCACCATAGATTTGTTGTTGTTTTAATGTAAAGTTATTAAAAGTTTACCTCAATATCCTCCGCTTCGTATTCCTCCTGTTCAGACTTGAGTGTGAGCTGGATAAAAAGTTGCTGCAGCTTCTCATTGCAGTAGTTTATACAGAACTGCTCAAAACTAAGAACACAACGAACAATTTTGTTTGAAATCATCATCACAAAAAAGCTAAAAAACTTAAGATATCACTTCTGCCTACCTGTTTACATAGAAAACTTCAAATCCATAGATGTCCAAAAGACCTATCACGGTCTTTCTTGAGGGATCCTGGCACAAAATAAGAGTTTGTAGTCAGTAACTCATCCTCACCTTCCAGGTTTTGTCTTTAGTCACTCACTTGTTTCATCCTTCACCTTGTTCTCCATGGACTCATTGATCCTGCTAACCAGCCAGGTGAAGGTCTGTCCATAAATGGCTTTGGCCAGAGCATCTCTGGCATAGATGGCATGATCAGTGGTGAATGGGCTGAGGACCTTCATAGTAGCAAAAATAAAAAATCAATATAAAACTCTACACTGGGAGTTTATACTGAAATTAAAGGTCATGTTTACATGTATGAACCTTTTCTTTTTTGGCTTCAATCTTCCTGTATGTGAGACCCTCCTGAAGACTCTGAGCATCGATTCCAAGAAGCTGCAGGAAGAAACAAAAAAGGTTAACTCTTAAACTCGACGTGATAATCATGGACTACTCGTCTTTCTTCTCCTTACATCTGAAACCCATTGCAGCTCTGGCTTGTTTTTCAGAAGGGCATGGCCTTTACTGTCCGAGTCAAACTGAACGTTCCCCAAGTGGAGAACACTGGCAACAATCCCGAATAGGTGCTGCAAAGAATGTCGAGCAGGAAAACATTAGGTTAGAGGAGGACTCGGCGGTTGAAATGAAAGCATCTGCAATGGCATTCAGCTTACACTGGTGTTAATCTCATCGAAGTTGATGATCTGAAGAGCATTTTTGACTGTTTTCCAGTCGTTTCTGTCATTAATAGATGGCACAATGGCACACTCCCCCTGCCAGAAACAGCAAATGCAGCCGTAGGTTATTAAAGTTTTATGGAGTTAGATTTAATTGAAACAGTGCCACTGAGTTTACATACTTGAGTTAGATAGTTGTAATGCCGACAGTCTCTCTCCAGGCCCAGCTGGCGCAGGAGGTTGTCCTCTCCTCCCTCCACGAGCTGGTAGAAGATGTGGAAGTTTCTCTCCCCATGGTTCTGATGCACCACCCTCGACTTCTCCAGCAGGTAGTTCAGGATATGGCCCCCAACAGCATCTCCCTATGGGCATCATGATCCTAAAGACAGCAGCTCTACAACTTGCAGAAGAAACATGGCCTCTGGTCCAGTGGACACATTTGAAATATTTCTATCTTCTTATATAATTTGAAAAAAAAAAAAACAGTTGAGATTAAGATGTCTTTTTTCAAGAGTGTCCTGGCCTAAATAGGCAACATCACAGTTTGCACAGTTTCTGACAAAGAGCAGCCATACATAAATACATACTAAGAGTATCAACTCATATCAACTCCCATTCAATTCAGATCATGTGTACATCAAGAAACACACCTAAAGTCACATGTGTCTGCCTCTGGGTCATTCAAAAATGCCTTAAATGTGCTTATTGAAACCAGTTAATTTAGCTTCAGCTCATTCTCTAGGTAATTCCAAGAAAATAGAGCAGCAAGTTTTAACGCCTCTCTTCCCAATTCAGTTCTGACCTTTGGAAATGGATATAAGAAAAGGTCCATAGATTTGAGAGTGTAAGTTCCCGAATGTTTTGATCTACACATGGGACAAGGAAGCCCAACCGATGCATTCATACAGCAAACAGTGATGAGTGAGGGCTTTGAAATTAGTAACAAACTTCAGTGCTTCATTATACACAGCTCTGATAAGAGGCCTTAAGTGTATATGCACATTACAGTGTCATCTGCATAAAAATAAAGTGTGCATTGGACACGTTTTGATTTATATTGTTTATATAAAAATAAAAAGCAGTGGTCCCAGCACTTACCCTTGGCGAACTCCTTTTCATTACTTTAAAAAAGCTATAAAGAGCAGACTTCTGCCTCAACACACTGAGTCTCGTCTTGTCAGCGTAGTAAATCTTACACTAACTGACCACTTGTTGAGAGAACCCTACTTTGACCAGTCTTTGTAGGAGTAATGCATGTCCATCATGTTGAAAGCTTTGGAAAGGTTTTATAAAAAGGATGAAAACTTTAAGGGCCATGCTGTTTGCTGAAACCAGACTAGAATTAAGAAAAAATATTATTGGAGTTTGAAAAAAAAAAAAGCCTTCAGCTGCTCATAAGTTTTTGAAAATGTTTAAAAATGTCTTTTACACGCCTAGTTACTCGAAATAAGGTTGACTTACAGGACCGCAACTTGAAAATAAATGTATCTACATCTTAGCTAAAGTTCTTTGAATGTGTGTCTTGAATCTTACCTCGCTGTTAAACTGAATGTCCATATACTTCCCAAAACGACTTGAGTTGTCATTCTTCAGTGTTTTTGCATTGCCAAAAGCCTGTGAGAAAACAACACAAACTACTTAATGACACAGTGACCTGTGTTTCATTTCAGTGTTACACATAAGTAGGTATCAGACCTCGAGGACGGGGTTGGACATGAGCATTTTGTCCCTGACAGTGTTGAGCAGAGTGGTGCTGGGACAGCTCACAGCGTAATACTGCAGGATTTTCTTGGAGGCCTCGGTCTTCCCTGCCCCGCTCTCTCCAGAGATCAGAATGAAGTGATTGTTGAACTCTGTCAGCATGGTGTGGTAGGCATTATCTGCCAGGGCATAGCTGAAAGAAGCAGTGACAATGATTTTGCTTTTTGAACGGTTATTTCAAGTCACCAGTGAGAGCTTTCCAATGTCAAATATTCAAGATGTTCTCACATGTGTGGCGGAAGTTCAAAAAAGTTAACACCCATGTAGAGATCCATCTGTTTCTTGTTGTAGATGTCAAGGTCTTTGTAGGGATTCACGGATACAAGCAGTGTGCCGATGTAGGTCTAGGAGAAAGATTTAAAATAACTAAGTTGATTGAGAAAGTACATCTGATGGCAGCACGATTAAAAACTCACTTCTCTGACTCACATAAATGAGATCTTTGCTGAAGCGTTTCTTGAGGTTGCTAAGGAAGGCCGCCTCTGTGGTTTCATCCAGGAGGACGAAATCCTGGATCCCAACACGGTCCCTGGCAGTCAGGGCGCCTTCCATGTCTAGCTGACCCTGTGCAACAAGTTGTCAACCATTAGGCAGCCAAATGTCTAAACTGTGAGCAGTGGAGGTGACTTCTACAAGGAAATTTCTGGTGTAATCTCAAGATTTTAAGGTATCCAAAAATGTTGCACTTTTATTCAAAAGATTAACTCATATATTGCATATTTTGCATGCATAGCTTTGGAGATTTTTAGCTATGTATTTTGACAAATGCCACTGGATGACTGAATGTTTGAATAAACAGCTCAACACAGGAGGAGGGGGCTGAAAAAAAGCACCAGAAAAGCACAAACATGGTCCCCGATAGTTCTATTGAAACAAGAGGTCTAGAGGTCCTATGTGTCTTTGATGCAGAGCTCTGTGATTGTGCAGAAGAACAGACAGAAGCTAATGATCGCTACACAGCACACAGGGACCTTGGCTGGCAGCCCGCAGTTCACTCGAGCTGACGCACCAACCAAACACAACGCAGTGTGCGAATGGACTCAGGGAGCCCAAAACAGCGGCACATTTAAAGAGGCATAGTGGGAGAAATTCCACCAATCTGTTTTGCATTCTCAGCACCAACACTTCGACTAAAGGTTTTCACAGCTTTTGTTGGTCTTGTATTTTCTTCTCTCTCCTTTGGAAGCAGAAGTCCTTTGATTCTCCACTCTCTCAGTAAAAACATTAAAAAAGATAATCCATTGGATCTAATTGACACAAAGCCCTCCGTTCCCCCCCACCTCCCCCGCCTCCATCCTCCGCCTATGGCCCTCATTTCTTCTTCTGAGAAAGGCCGAGTGTTTTTGTCCTGTAAATACCACGGAGCAGAGACAAAAAAGACGTCTTTAAAATGCAGTCTACAATCCATTACACAAATTCCCCCTGCATATCCATTCAGTAATTATTCATTAGAAAACATTTAACGTCACAGTGAATTTCACACTAGGCAGTCGAAACACAATAGAGGAGATTTGGCCTATTTTGGGGTGAGGAGTTGGGGAGGGGTTGGCAGTACAGAGGAAGGGTGAAGGCGATGGAGGAGGAGGAGGAGGAGGAGGCAGAGGGGAGCAGTATTTGTCTGATCTGAGAACCTCTGAAACGGGGCCGTCTTGAGACAAGGGGACAGACTAAATAGTGCAGTAACGGTCTGTGCCCCGCTGCTTGCTGTGACACTCATTTAGTGTGCCCTGAGGGCGAACAATAGAGGCTTGTTCTTCGCAATCCTGTGCTGTAATTTGGACTTCATTACTCTGCTCACACGGGGCCCCATTTAAGGATAGAGTAGGCTAGTCAGATGAGAGTGTTTTTTTCCACCTGTCAATGCTCTCCTCAACAATACCCCTCACCCCGTGTCCCTACCAATAACCCTCACCCGACCCCCTTTCCATCGCCCACCCCTCCCAGCCACCCACTTTAAGCCAATGAGACAGGTGAACAATATCATTGAAGGAGCTCTTTTTTGGACGTCAGAATCAATCTGGCAGTGTGATGGCAGTGGTGCTGGTGCGGGGTATCTGTGACACCCCCTTTTCTTCATGGGAACAAACTTCTCTCAGGGCAGCGCAGGCAGACAATGTGCTGGGACAGCGTGACTTAGAGATCTGCCATACAGTATTACAAGTAATAACATGGAAAGATAAGCTCCTGTCAAGAGGGAGATTAATGAATTCAGGGGTGATAATAATGCTAATGTTTCAGGACTTCTTTCAATTCACTGACAAAACCTAAAGCTTTGTTGTCCCTCATTCAGGTTCCCGTTGGTGTCCCGCAGGTATTTTTATTTAAGAAAGCTGTCTGCAGCATGCACAAGCGTTTCTATAGACATTCAGCTAAGTAAAAGGCTTGAACATTGAATGGGCGTTCTCGGTGCAGGAGAACAAGTTAGTCTGAGAGCAGGAAGAAAAACTTCTCCTCATGCATGTGTTATGTACAACTTTATACAACCAGTTTACACAATGCACAAAGACAAGTATTTTGCAATTAACAGCCCAATTTGATGCACGGCAGAGAGTTTCTATAATGAGCCAACTAAGCCATTGTCAGATCAGGTGGATTACCTTGCTACCTCAGAGCACAACCAATTGTATTTTAATTAAGAGATGCTCCCTCATCTTGGTCTAGAGTGTCAGTGTTGCTGAGACCGGGTGACCTCATCTGAGACACAAGAAGAGCAGCTCTTAAGAGAAAGGAGGGGGAGCTGCCGCAATCACCAACCAAGAAACAAGAAGGTCTGCCTCAAAGACAATTCTGTCTGTCTGTCTCATGTAACAGTTATATCTCCACTTAATCCTAAAGGGTCATTTAGTCACCGTAGCCAACAGACACCACTGACCTTAAAACTGTTTTACACTGACCACCAAGATTGTGGTGGACTAGGCTTTTCACTTTCTGACCAAATACTTAATGAGAAATAACAAATCTGTCTTAAATCCATCCACCAAATGTGAGGCTTAGGCGAGCAGACAATTACCAACCAAACATGCTTATCAGGATGCACTTTTGGTGCTATTAAGAGGAATATTTTGGATTCAAACAAGTCGTGATGAGTTCTTCTTTTTAAGCATTTGTGCCAAGCTAAGCTAACTGGTTAACCAAGCTGTTTTTCTAGTTGCTACTTCATGTGTCCTTGAAAATAAGGCACAGGCCTAAACAGCATTCAAAGAATATAAGTCATATATAAGTCAATATAACTCGCCATATAAACCTTTGAAACGCTACAAAATAAAGTCCTGTGACAAAATGGATGGATAAAACAGTTCTATAACTCAAAAGCAAAACTCAAACCTGCATTTCTGATGTTGTACTATTCTGCTCTCAGAAGCAGAATCTTTTCAAGGATCCAATCTGAGAAAAAAAATCCTTTCTCTTCAGAGAGGATAGACAGGTGCAGCGTGTCCTCCCGTGTCTGCTTGCATGGAGACAATCAGGTAACCTGTAAACACTTGATCATTGAGAGTTAAATGGCAAAAGTCCAACTTGACTCCTCTGCTTAATCCTAATTTTGAAATACATAGACCATCCAGGTTTGTCTGTTAGCTCACTTATTCAGCGTGCTGAATTTGTGGTGTTTGTGATGCCGGGTGGAGGCCTGTATGCACCTGTGAGCTCCTCTACATCCTCCTGACCCAAAGTCACTGTGGGCTGGGTGCTGAATCATTCATGCCGGGGAAGGTGGAGGAACAGAGAGATCTTATTCAGTGCTTACCTGGGTATCTACTGCTCTACTGAGTGTAACATAAAGACAGAGAAACAGGATCCAAACTGCATCAATCCAACCATCCCCCTCTCTCTCACTCTCCTTCTCTTCTACTTCATCTCCTCTCTCTTTACTTAAGCTCAGTTACTTCACTACCAACATCAGTTTTGAGAGCTATAATTTTTGCTACCTTGTTTGGTGTTTTTGCAAATCCCACAAAGTCAATGCTTTCAAATATTTATTTATTTATGAGGAAGTACATTTTAATAATGGGATAAAACTATGTCAGAAATTACTGTTGGGTGTACCATAAAGATCAGATTTTTTAAGGTGAGGTATATCTGCGTGTGGATAGTGACTGTTGATCTCTTTTGAATGCATTTATGCGTATTTGTGTGTGTGTGTGTGTGTGTGTGTGTGTGTGTGTGTGGGGGTGGGGGGCTTACCATATTAAGTGTATTCATAAATTTCAGTAAACAGTTTTCGAGATGTTATCATGTTTTCCAAACTGTCCAACCAGACCAAGTCTGAAGATTACCACACTTTATAAAAGTGTAGCATCTAAGGAAAACAAATATGGAACAATAGTTTTTAGTATTTTTGTTTGAACCGGAGTGATGAATTAACAGGTTTTATTGAGAACTTAAAAGCAATGTAGCGAAAAAAGCTAGCAGTGTGAGGAAAGTCAAACGCTGACTCTATATTAATTGTTTCTTTACTGTTTCTATTTATAAATTTGAAGTGGATGCTTGAAATTGTTAAACTGTGACTTTGTTTTGGAGCCATTCTCATCTTTATCCTAAATTGGATCAGAGGTCAGATCTAGTGCTGAGAATCTGATTTTTCAGCCCATTTTTGCATTTGTACATATTTCCCAAAAACCAAACATAACACTTCTTTTGTGTACAAAAATAACTTAAGCACAAAGAAACTCCACTTTGTTAGTGGAGCCAGTGTCAAAGTTCAAATGTGTTTACTTGTGTATCCTAGTAACCAAGACAAGAAAACACACCCTGCACGGTAACACAGGTGTCCATTTTCTCTGCTCTGATGACCCGAATGTGAGAAAAGATCAGGTTTCATACAATTAAAGGATTGATCAATGTTAGGACAGCTTTCAGAAAAATCGCCAACGATGGATGACCAGTTGTGTGTTGAACATATTTGAATTATTCACTCTCCACCACAGAAAAGTTGTCAAGGTTACCTTTGCCACGGCCCCACCTCTCCCCCAGCCCCAGCAGCCCGGCAATGCTTGTCCAATCTTAACAAGCTTTGTGCTACCCACTGGGCTCTGATTCAGCACGAGACCCGGCAAATCCAATTACACAGGAGTCAGAGAGGTTGATTTTCCCATTATAGATTCCATGCTGAGAATGAGAGCTGATGATAACACTCACATCACACCAATGCTGCCCCCTCTCCCTCTTATTTTGTCTCCATTTCACTGTTTCCCCCCCTTTATTTCTCCCTCTCTTCCTATCTAATTCCTCTTTCCCAAAAGACTGTCTTTCTTTCCCCTGTCCCTTTCTTTGGATCTCTTCTTTTATAGTCCATTATTCTAATTTTCTAGAGCAGCGTAACGAAGCCTGGGCCCTGTCATCATTTCAGTACCAAAGTGCTGGGTCACTGAGTATACTCTATACCAGCACTGCACATTTTTAGATTTTATCTGTCTTGCTTAAGAGAGGAGAAGGAAATGCAACATCATTAACCTTTGTGTGGATGTGGTTTCTCATTATATCCTATTTATGTGTGTTGTGTATTTAGATTTTTGAATTGATCATTATTCATTACATGGATGTTTACACAGTAT